GAGAGGGGCAGTCGCATAACACGTGATGTACATCCTCCACCACCCCGATGTTTTGGCAGATATCCGTTGAAGAAAGGCCCAGCTTCTTATCAATGTCTCCCAACAAACAGTGTCCGGTCAAAATGTCTACCGCAATACTGAGATAACTGCTCAGTGCTCCAACAGGATACTACCCTGCTCAGTGCCTCAACAGGTCTTTCATCTTTGTACCATTCCTTTTCGGTCACAGGGCCCATGTTGTTGCACAAGTCGGCCGCTATACTAAAGCAAGTTTCCCCTTCTTTATCTTGGGGACAAGGTGCTCTCTTTTCCATGTGATTGGAATTTGTTATACTAATCAAAGGAATTCGGAAGAGTTTTCATCAATTTAACGTTTAATGAATAATTTTTAATAAATTTATTGAAAAATGCGTCTATTTTTAAAATTATAAAAAAATTTTTGGTTGTAATTTTACTCCATCATGTCTTTCAAATTTGCACATTACCAGAAAAATAACTACACTAACATTATGAAATCATTTTATTATTACCCTTGTATTCATTAATCCTGTGGGTAATTTTCTTATTTATCACTGAAAATGAGAAACCGATCCGTAGTAAATGTACTATTACTCAGTGTTAACCGCGTCAGATGTTGATCAATTCTTCAGCAAATGATACGCTAATGTTATAAATGTTTCCAAAATCTGGGGATGCATGGATCAACACATATTTCTAGGACACCTATATGACAATAAAACCCAAAATAATTTTATATTTAATAAAAATTAAAAAAAAAAAAATTGTTTGTGTGCACAGGAATTTTGTGACACAATTTCCTACTTTATATATGGTATTCAATCCCAATAAATAAAGAGTAAACATTTCTTAAGTAACTTTATATTATTCCTACTTTTTATTCCCTTATCAAAAATCTCTAGACCTATACATAATATTATAGGCAAACACAACATATTATACCCGATGTTTATGGTATGCAACGCTTCACTTAAAGTATTTTTGTTCTTTCTATAAAGTTTTTGTTTTTTTATTTGATTTTTTTTTTTATAGATATTTTTCTAACCATATTTGAAGAGCTGTAAAAATGTAACTGTATTTTTATTTAACATTATTACCGTTTTTGTAACGTTGAATTTTCCATTCTATTTCCTTTTGTAATATTCGAATGAAAGCATAGGAAAAATAGAAGAAAAAAAAAAAAAGAAATTTTCAAATTCAAAATTGCGTACGTGATCCTTTTAAAACCATTTGTTGTTTTTGGTATTCTTGAATTTCATTTTCTATATAAACTTCTGTCAAAAACAATGCCTTTAGGTATCGATTTTAATTTTATTTTTAACGTTTTCATCGTACGCCATTTATATTTTATATTGCCAATAATAGCAGTTAAAACACAGAAAACAAAAAGAATGAAAAATAAATACAAGAAAATGAAAAAAGTAATAATCATAGAAAAATGTATAAGAAGCGGAAATATGGCGAATATAATTTGACACATGATGTTATTTTAATATTTTTGAGTGAAAATTTGAATTTTATTATTTAAGTTATAGGATGCAGATTGCAGGATATCATTGTAATGAGAAAGGCTCAACTCTATAAATCTAATGATATAATCGTGTACCTTTAGCTGTGTGAATCTTAAATGGTGTGAGAGATAAATTTTTAATGCCATCATTACTTTTAAGGCAGTTATGAGTGGTTGCATGATTTTTCGAGGAAACACGAAATGAACACGAAATACAAGAAAAATCTGAAGAAACTACTCCGCATAAATTGAGTCGCACTACATAATGCGGTAATTATTGGATATTTCCAAAGTTTTATTTTGAATTTTCCTAAAGTAGTGCAACCTTCTTAGGAAGCTGTTCATTTCAATCAATTTCAGTTCTCCCTCTTTTCCATGCAATTAAACAAATCTCTCTCTTAAAATTAACCAAATAATCAAAATTTTTATATTGTTCAAATTTAATTAATCTGTATGAATTTAAAATATACATCTTCACATAAATTGCAGAAGTGTAAATTCTGTTATTTTATTTCCGCTACCACAATTATGACCACAATTTTTCGGTTATTTGATGAATAATTATATTTTCACACTCATTATTACCATTACATAATTATAAGTATGAAAAAGAGAGAAAAGAGAGATGAATCTATCTACTTGAAAATAAAAATGACAATAAAATTTGCGAAATTATGAACTCTAAATGGTAAATAAAATTTATTTAACTTGTGATGTTAATTAAAAATGAAGGTGAATGCATGTGATATGATTTAAAATATATTGACGACTGAATGTAAATTGGCCAAAAGTCTTCGTAATAAAGGTAATGCTGACAAAAGCAGATATGGAATCTAAAAACTTCATAAATAGCGTTCCAAATAAACTTACTTACGTTTAAGATTTCAAACACTAGAGCGCCAAAGTTGAACATGTTAAAAATCTAATCAAAGTCTGAGGTAGAACAAAGAGCGATTTACTTCGAATTCGGTGCAATACCGTGACTTCAAGAACTTCCGCGGTTACACCGGCTATTGCCTTTGCTCACAGTTTTTAATTTATTATTTTAAATTTTAGCAAGCGCACACTACTCATTTATTTATATCGGTGCTTCCACAGACGTTGTGTTTCCGGAACGTCGAAATAAAAATCGATAAAACTTCAGTAGGTTTCTTTACCGAGTTTTGAAAAGTTTGGCTCAAAGGCGGCTGATCGTCGTAATGTTCATCACCAAATTTGATTTTCTCGTTTAATGAACTTAATTTAAGGAAATGTGATTTAAGAAAGACACATCAAAAATAATGCTTCTGTCCCTAATCTAGATTATAATAGACCATCATAAATATATTATAATTTCGTTAAGCATTCACAAACATCTTCATTTGCCGAAAATTTAATATTTATTATTCTACTTTTCTTTATATAAGTTGAAGTTTTTATTAACATCTCTTTGTAATCAAGAGCATTTAAACAACCAACAATCTGTTCTACGAACTAAGAAATATGCTTGAAAATATTATCTAAATCAGGTCTTTCATTTAACAGAATTTGATATTCTTTTAGTTGTTAGATTTGTAATTAAAACATAAGCAAATAAAATAACAATCATTATCATAAAAAAAAATTAATAAATAAATTCCTTAAGTTCAGACATTTTCCTCTATAATTGTTATTTGCATAACTTCATTCTCTGACTCGATAGCGGCAACATAAAACAAAACATTTTTAGCACATTGGTTACCTCTTAAACGACATAAGAAATGCTTCTTATCTAAAATGGTATACGAAGTTTATAGTCTTCAAAAAATCACATCTTATTAAAAAATCTCATTCATAAATTTTAGTGTCATTTTAATTTTTTTCTTATTTAACATTAAACACATACATACCTTCTGAGTGCATGGTTTGCGTGAAAACCGAAAATTGATATCCATTAGTTCGCAGCATGTAGCAGTCACTTTTAATACAAGCGATTTCTAAACAAAATGCAACAATTAAACCGCTATTTCCCACACTTTGTCGCAACTTTTGAACAAACTCCAAAAAACTAATTATACAAGAATTTTAAAAATTTGATTAATTCTTGAGCTGAAACAACGATGAACTGGCGGGCAACATTATAAGCTAGGGTTCAGATTTCAGTACCAAGATATTTCGTATAGAGTAACAAAAATACAGCCTTATAATTTTAATGAGTATTTTAAAATTGTCTATTTTAAAGCTTGTCGAAGATATCAATTGCATGTTATTATAATTTGCTTACATGTTTGCTCTTTCCGGAACCCTTATACGAAATTTAATCACACACTGCTTGTTGGGAACTCAGGAAAGATAAATCCATAAATTGAACTATTACTTATGTATGTATGTAGATATATTTTTAATTTACATTAAAACAACAGTTGTTGTTTTGTCGTCACCACACAATCAATCCCAATATTTTAAAATTAAAATAGCTACTAACATATTTCAAAAATTTAATACAAAAAGTTTTGCATTAAATTCAAAAAATTATACATAACATATTTTCCTGTTATCCTGCCCTGTTATCTCTTCATTTTGTTTTCACCTTTCTCTTCTTTTTCTGTTATGTTCAATTTCAAGTTTTTCAACTCAATAAAACAATAATTATTATTTTTATAAATATTATCAAAAATATTATTTAAATTTAATACCGGCCGGCATTCAAAAAAAGATAGAAAAATAAAAGAAAATAAAAAAAAAATTTTCCAACTCATTTTACATACATGTTCTCGTTTATACCATATTCTCAAAATAAAAACAAAAATTGATTACACTTTCCCTCTCTTTTAAATTCTCTCAAATTAAAATATTGAAAATGAAAAATTGAAAATTTCCCAACATTTTACATATTATATTTTTTATATTAAAAATTTCTGACTTTTACACTATTTAGGCACTTAGACAGTTAGACCACTTACTTATAAAATAAACAGATTTTTCAATAAAGGGTAGGAAACTGACAGAATGTTAAGTTAAAATTGCTTTGAAAATATAAAACTATACAAATTATTAAAAAATGTAACTAAATTTTGAAGGAAAATTTGTTCGAACAACAGGATTTTTATTTATAAATAAAATACGAGAATAATTTAAAGAGAGTATGGTGAAATTTCAATATATTATTTGAGAGAAATTTCTAGGTGGTGAAATTCTAAATACAAAGTGATAACTTATAAGGGGAATGTAATTTTTTGAAATATGTATAAATGAATAGGTACAAAATAATATGTTGAAATTATTTTAAATAAAAATGTTTAAAGAAAAATTGGGAAATTTTGTTTTTCTCTTTGTTTTTATATAAAGGAAATTTATTTTATTCCTTAGTAATTTTAAAGGAATATATCTAATTTTCGTTTACAACATTTTTTATTTTTTATTCAATTTTGTAAATTTTCCTATACGAAAAAATTCTCTATGTTATTTTCTTTTTTTCGTTCATTTTAAATTTTCAGTAATAAACGAACGATTTTAGTGTTTAGGTCAGTTTTATCGCGCGGTTGAAGCTGTTCAGATCAAGAAGAAAAAAATTATTAAAATTAAAATTGAAGAAAAAAAAATATAAAAATTTTTTTTTAAAATAATTTTTGATTAGAAAAATTTGCAAAAGAAAAAAAACTAAAATTATTTTTTATGTGAAATTATTAAGTGTATGTATAAATTTTAAAATCCCATTTCTAGTTCTCATTTATTGGGATTACAATAATATTGGTTGCACCCAATTGTTACTTACAGATGCTTATCTAGAATTGAAAAGTAAAAAATTAGTTTTCAGAAAAAAAAAAATGTGTCAAGTTCTAATAAATTCTAAAAAAAGAAAAAATAAGTAAAAATAAAATTTTGTTAAACACAAGAAAAAAAAATAAAATTTTTTTATTAAAAAAAACTTTTCGAATCGGTCACAGTTTTTTTTTTCTAATATTCTAAATATTTAAAGATAAAAAAAAAATTAAAGAGGAAAAATATTTCCTCATTTAAATCATTCACCGTATACAAATCTTAAATTCAATTCTATAAAGTACGAGCAGAATCACAAAATAGTGAAATTTTTTTCTTCGTTTCAGGAATTTAAAGGAAAATTTTAAAAAACAAAAAAAGAGAACAAAAAAAAAAATACTTTTTCTTTCACACGTTCATATTTTTCCTAGAGTAAAAGTAGGTTATGAAAATATATTATGTATATATACACACACATAAATATACACTATTTTTATGTATATATATGCAAATATATAATATATATATGCAAATATATGTATATATATATATATATATATATATATATATATATATATATAAGCATTAAAATTCGTACTTATATATAAAATATATGGATAGTGTATAGTTATCTATGTACGTATATTTACATACATTTGTGTATATATACATATATATCATGAATACATATATATGAAATTTTTACTCTTGGTATATTAGAATACTTATTCTGAAATATAAAATAATATTTTTAAATGGACTTCAATTGTTTAAATTACAATATAAAACAAACATACAAATCGCTATACAGAAAAATATATTTAATACATTTAAATATTACAATTTTCCTTAAATTCTTAATTATAATTTAAATAATTAAATGCACGCATTTTATATCCCTTTTTGCAATAAAATTATATATATATGCATATAATATCAATATATGTTATATATAAGCTTTACAATTTAAAATGAAACTCTTAATAATAATTTTAATTTAATAAATTAAAATATTATATATATATATATATATATATACATAAATATATGTGTATATGATATATAATTTACAAAGTTAATATAATTGCATATATATCATCAAATATTGTATTTAAATAATAAAAATATAAATATATATAAAGAAAAAAATATATGATATATATGAAAATAAAATAAATAGAGATGATCTAAAAAGAATTTTTTTTTTTTTTTGAATTTGCTGAGTAAAATTTATGAAAAATATAAAAAAGAGTACTTATATATTTAGAAATATATATATGAAAATAATATATTATACATTCAAATATATATATGTATATGTATATATTATAAAGTGAAAATTTTTAAAATTATCTAAAAATAAAAATATTATTTTTATGCTGACCAGCATCACTTTTTTTATATTATATATTAAGCATATGAACATTATGATATATGTAGGCATATATAACGTATATTATACAAAAATTATTCAAAAAAAAAATATATATTTTGAAAATTTATGAGTATATAATATTATAATGTACATGATATATAATGCCCGTATATAATATTGCAATATCAAAAAGTTATATATGTATAAAATAGACAAAATTATTATTTAATACTTCATATACGAAAGTTTAATGTAGGTACATTGTGTAAATAAAGTATATATATAGTTGTTGTTAATATATATTAAATGTTATCATTGTAATATTATATAGAATTTAATTCGAGTTTTATAAAAACATTTAATTATATTTTTTTACTTATATACAAAATATACGAGTATGTGATTAAAATTTCGAATTCCAGAGACTATATACAAAATTATGCTTACTAATTATTATATATGTACATGTTGATATTTGAATTATTATTGTTGAAAATCAATTCAATTTAAAAAAAAAAGTGAAATTAATAAAAAATTTCAATTTGAAATTATAATAATGATAATAAGTAATATTTTAAAATATAATTTGTATAATGAAAATTCAATGAAACTTTAAAATAAAAATTTTTAATTACTTTTTATTAAAAAAAGAAAAATTTAATAAATTATTAATTATTATTTGCAATAAGTATACAAACATATATATTTTATAATTGTTGTTGATATTTTTTAAGCGTATTCATTGAGCAAATATACAGAAATACAATTTAAAAATATATTTTACATGCAATATGTGCATATATGTATGTATGTACATTAATGGCAAAAATGAATGTCTATTGTCATTTTTGACATGGTAAAATAATGTAGGAATACAATTGTAGAAATGTGGGGCTTTAAGAAGGAATTTAATAATTTTACTATAAATTTAAGACCTAATTGAATTGAAATTAATTCCAACTTTAGATATATGCAATTTACAAATAATTAGACCTCGTAAATCCCGAAAAACTTAAAGAAAGAGAATATTAAAATTGAAATGAGTTTCAATGAAAAGTAATTTTAAGTATTGATACATTGATACAATAAAGTACAATTAGAATATTTGCATTGGTTGAAAAACAAATTTAAATAGAAATTTTAAACTCAGTTTTTTTTTAAGCTTGGTTATGTAAAATGAAAATCTGTATGAAATATTTTCATATATATACATATTATATGAGCTTAATTGTAAAAAGTGTTATTTACAATTAAAAATATAGTTTTGATTGTTCTCTTATTATTCCTCCAATTATTCTCCAATTATCGAAATTAATCTTATTTATTATTCGAAATTAATCAAATTTACAAGTAATTTACAAGTAAGTTAAACAAAAATTCATGTTGAATTAGAGCCCGAACTATCTCAATGTTACCGAAATTATACCTTGAGAGTACAAATATATATAAGGCACAATAAGACTAGTATCAAAAGTGCTAGGACCATCATCCAATACGAGTATTATGATAATAAATTTTAATATTTTGAAATTAAACATTTTTTTGGTTGAAGAATTTCAGGAACATTCGTTAAGATTTTCTAAATTTGAATTTATAATCGTAATATGGCGCAGTTTATTTACGAACGTAAAACTTCAAATGCTTAGTATAGATATAACATTAAATTCGAACATTTTAATAGCGGTTCCAAATTAATTTCTTTACATTCTTCTGGGTCGGAATCCATATTTCAGGAAGAAGCGAATAAATAGAAATTTCATAGTATTTTATTAAAATCCCTATATCGTTGTGTTGATCTTTTAGTTTCTTAATGTATGAGCAAAATCAATTTTCAATTGAGCAAAATCAAAAATTATCACATTACAATTATGACGTCTTTTAACGCATCTAAAGATATAATTATAACGTTGAAACATAATCTTTCTACTTCGTATAAAATTAAATTTTCAAAAAAATTGGTCTAATCCTTCAAAGTGAATTAATTATTAAAAAGAGTTACAATTAAATGATTTGAAGATATAAAAGACCAGAGGACTGACCAGACCATATTTATGTACGAATAGATTAATAATGTCAATACATTCTTTTTTTTGTTTTTTCTTTTTCTTTTAATAATTAATTTGTCTGGCCATTGTTTAAAACAAAAATAATATAGATTGACACTTAATTAATAAGTGATTAACATAGGTAAACAAATTCAAAGATGGTTTTTGTTAACAAGAAAAATAATTCAATTGGATTTATTAATGAAGCATTGAAATTTTATCTATTTATATAGGATTCTATAATTAGTTATTATGTATGTTTGTATGTATGTATGTACATTTGCTATGATTAAAAATATATTGTTATCATACATATTACACTAGATGTCTGCCACTGTATAAAGGCTGTGTTTGTGTATTAAATGCGTTAATTTAAGAATAAATATACGCTTTTCTTAGTTAAGTTTATTGACATTTCATTTAATTTTTATGGAATGTTGACAATAAACTTGAATAATAAATTAATAAAGTAGTCTGAGTTACATAATGTGTTTATTATTAAAAAATTTTAGGAAAAAGGATATGTGTAGAATCACTAAATAAATTGGTATAAAGTATTTATACTGTTTTTTTTAATTTTTGCTGTAAACGTCATAATTCTGTGATTCAGAACTTGTTCAAACAGTCATGAATTTTGTAAAATTTGAATTTGAGAAAGTTAAGGTTATATAAAAAGAACTGCTGTCCTATTATTTCTTATTAGTTCCGAGTGATCATAGTTTATTTAATCCATTTGCCAAGTAACGTATTCTGGATGTTCAATACTTGTCTAAGAATTTTCTAAAAAATATGAACGAAATATTCGAAGACTGATGACATATTGAATTATTATTGTGCTGTTAATGTTTGAAAACGTTTTCCGAATAAAAATCTGAGCATATATAATAGAAGCTCAAACCTAATGTGTGAACTAATTTTAATGTTTGACCAAAGAATATTTGATTAAATCTAATTTCGAACTTCTTTTATTTTAGAAAAAAATGTCTTTACTCAACTTTTAATAAATTCTCCTTAAAATTCTTGAAGAGAAATACTTTCTCTTAGTTTCTTTTTACTGATTCTGACTGGACGCATTAGACGAATTTCGCATCGTTAATATTTATTTTCAAAATATATAGATCATTACAAATAATTAATTTATTTTACATGGACATCAATCTGAAATTACTTACAACTTTCCTTTTCACACTTAGGCCAATTTTATGTTAAAATAAATTTCTCCCTAATTGTTATTGATATAGTGCCTTTATGGTACAAATTTATCAAATTTTATAAAACACATAACCTATATATTACATAACTACAATAATAAGAACCCTATACATGGCATAATATATGGCATATTACACAATTCTATAGACACTATTAAATTTTGTAAACTATTCCGGTGTGATCTTTGACTTTGAAAATTTATTTTATTTTTTTCTATGTTTTTTTTGTTCCCTACATTTTCCAGTTGCTGCAGCATTTAGTAAAAAAATGAATAAATAAACATCATGTTTAATATGAAATA